TACTGTTTCTATCTTTTTCAGAAACTGGCCCTTTTTGAGGAGGAGAAACAAGAGACTTCACATAGATGGACTTTAGGATTGATTGCAATGGGAAGAATCAATATCCCTTAGTCAAAGACTTATGGTGTCAGTATTTTTTTTTTTACATTAGAGTTAAATTTCAAAGGCCTGTTGGAAGCAACCTTTGGGCAGACATTCTGGTAGTCTCTGTGATAAATTCTTATTTGGCTTGCTGTAGTTCAGTGTATCCAACAAGGAATAACCTTGGCCCTCGTTGGGAACTGGTAAATACTAAAAATTTCAGTGTTTGTCTAAACACTGAAAAATTTGAGATCCTCTGAGCCCCCCAATTCTGTCTTCCTCCTTTTAAGTTATAAGAATGAGGTGCAATTGGTATCTATCTTCAATGCTGTACCCTAACATGAACTTATTATTATTCTATTTTCCTACCTTCTGATTTAGAGACCCCAATGCTTATCTCTGAAGATGGAAATAGATTAAAGCAATAATTTTCAATAAATACTTTTCACCTATTAATTCATTTATTCAACAGACTTTATTTAATGCCTGCTATAAGCCACACACCCTACTAGGTGCTTGGGAAACAAAGATAAGACAGGGTCTGTGCTTATAAGGGGTGCAGTACAGTGGGACAAACAGATACATAACTGGATAATTACAATTGTGAGCACAGCAATTAATACACAGAATATTATAGGATCACAGAAGGGAGGCACTTCACCTACCCCAGAGGGGATAAAAGTCAGGCTTTAAGAAGGACATAAACTATACTAATGAAGATCTATAATGAAGATTCATTTGGGTAACTTGGCATGGGAGAGAGTGTTCAGGCTTTCTGAATTAGACAACTCTGTAATTTGGGATAAAATACCCAGTAACTCTAAAGTAAAATATATGCCAGATTTGTGGTTAATGATTCATTTTGAAAAAGGAAAGAGTCTAATATCATAAATAAGTAAACATCAAGTTTGCGGGACTAGAGCTAGAAGTTGCTGGGTTTTTTTTTTAAGTTTCTTTCCTTTTTATGTTCCTCCCTGCCTATATTATGGAAAAACAAATATGAGAAATGTTATGCCCATAAGGAAGGTTCTTTTCTCTGATATGGCCTGTGTTACATTTGAAAATAAATAAAGGGACCATCACTAGACTGGATGAAAATCAGTGCTGTTTGAGGCCAGAATGTATTTATTTTTCTTTGTTTTAATTTTTTTTTAGATTTTTGTTTATTGATTTCTAGAGAGCAGGAAAGGGAGGGAGAAAGGGAGAGAGAGAAACATTGATGTGTGAGAGAAACATTGACTGGTTGCCTCTTGTACATCCCCATCTGGGGACCTGGCCCACAACCCAGGCATGTGCCCTGACTGGGAATCAAACGTGCAACTTTTCAATTCGCAGACCGGTGCTCAACCTACTGAGCCACACCAGCCATGGCTGAGACCAGAATTTTAAAAAGAAAAACATTAATTAGTTTCACAACTACTGCTGTTATGTAAAAGTATGAGGAAAAATTCAATGTTAACAGCATTTGAGGTTTTCTAAGTCATGGGTTTGAAGGGATCTGCATAACAATTTTAAATCTTTGAAAAAAAGTTTAGTCTTTCTAACAACACTATGAGCATTTCATAGAGGAGAGAATTGGGAGAATTGAAGCACAAGAGGTTAAAAAAAACCCTTGCCTAACTTCTCCAAGGAGGACATACAGAGGATCCAGAGACACATGAAAAGGTGCTCAATATCGCTAGCTATCAGAGAGATGCAAATTAAAACTACAGTGAGATACCACTTCACACCAGTCAGAATGGCCATCGTAAACAAAGCAACAAACAAGTGTTGGAGAGGTTGTGGAGAAAAGGGAACCCTAGTGCACTGTTGGTGGGACTGCAGACTGGTACAACCACTATGGAAAACAGTATGGAACTTCCTCAGAAAACTAAAAATGGACCTGCCTTTTGACCCAGCAATTCCACTGCAGGGACTATATCCTAAGAACCCTGAAACACCAATCCAAAAGAACCTAGTCACCCCAATGTTCATAGCAGCACAATTTACAATAGCTAAATGCTAGAAGCAACCTAGGTGCCCATCAGTAAATGAATGGATCAAAAAACCGTGGTACATTTACACAATGGAATTCTATGCAGCAGAAAGAAAGAAAGAAAGAAAGAAAGAAAGAAAGAAAGAAAGAAAGAAAGAAAGAAAGAAAGAAAGAAAGAAAGAAAGAAAGGAGCTCCTACCCTTTGCAACAGCATGAATGGAACTGAAAAGCATTATGCTAAACGAAATAAGCCAGGCAGTGAAAGACAAATACCATATGATCTCACCTTTAACAGGAACCTAAACAACAAAACAAAGAAACAAGCAAAATATAGTCAAAGACACTGAAATAGAGGACAGGCTGACAGTGACCAGAGGGGAGAAGGGAGGGAATTTCAAGGGAGAATGGGAAGGGTTTACAGGAACAAATATAAAGGACACATAGACAAAAACTGGGGTGGGGTGGAAATGGGAGGGAAGTGGGGAGGGATGGGTGGGTGCACTGGAATGGGAGTAAAGGACAGAAAACTGTATTTGAACAATGATTAAAATAATTTTTTAAAAAAAAAGGCAAAACAAACAAGAAAATCCTTACCTAAGATCATACAGCTGGTTAGTAGCAGAGCTGGGGTTTGAACCCAGTCTGTTTAAGTCCAGTGTTTATTACTCATCATACCATCTAGCTAAAATAGACACTAAAATAGAGAACAGGCTAGCAGAGACCAGAGGGGAGAGGGGAGGGAATTTCAGGGGAAAAGGGAAAGGGTTTACAGGAACAAGTATAAAGGACACATGGACAAAAACTAGGGGGTGGTGGAAATGGGAGAGAGGTGGGGAGCACTGGGGAGTGGGCTGGGATGGGAGTAAAAGGCAGAAAACTGTACTTGAACAACAATTAAAATAAAAAAAAAGAAATCTGTGTGGGTCCATTGCTGTCATGTTGTTTTCTGGCAGGAAGAAGTAGACAATTAGTGAAGTGTGTGATTGGGCCACTATAAATCCAATATACAATATAATGTGAAAATAACAATATAAAAGTTAACTTTAGATGTTTACTTTTTACACTGAGTGTACCTTATACTATTTTATATATTCTTCAATATTATACACTTTTTCATGTGCATGTGTTGTACATTATCTGTTCATCAAGACTATAATCCCTGATTCTAATCATGTATTTTAAAAAAGGAATAAACATTAAAATCATAGGTCAGGAAAAGTTAATGAAGCTGATTCTCAAACACCTTAAGAAATTAGAGCAAATATATTAGGTTATGGATGCTTAGAGTGGATATAAAAAAATAAAAAATCATAATAAAGTGATTAACTTTGCTGTATTAAAGTGATTTTTCAACCCATGTGCAGCAAGAATTTTTAAAACATGCAATACCTGACTGTTTAGTCAGGGGCCCTGACCTCTTTTCCCATAGATTGTCAAATTTTTTAAAAAATGACAATAGCCAGCACAACAGATAGCTGTCTGGTGTGAATCAAAATTACACCAATTTTTTGCCTGATCAGCAAAAATTATATTTTTTAGTGTGTCCCAGAATTTTAGTAATTAGTTTATGTGTGCTGTGAGATGAAAAAGGTTGAAAACCGCTGATCTATTACATCAGGGGAATTGGCTGGTGGATTTAAAAATGTATAATCATAGCATTAGAGTGTGAAAAAGGGGAAGTCTGTTATAACTGAATAGGGGTGTGGTCTGCTCAGGCTAAGGAGGACTAGATAATGGTTTCATAAAGCCCTGATATTTGTGTATGGTCTTCAGAACTGGCTGATATAGCTATCACATTTTCTTTACAGACATAACAATACATGCATCTGTAACTACCAGCCAGCTTTGTAAGCTAGAGAAAGCACAGCCTGTGGATTTGAGTGTACAAACTCTGTGCCTCCATCTAGACCTCAAGGTAACCATATCTCTACAGCTCCTGTAATCCTAGAGCAAGTACATGGATGCACTAAGTGGTGTGATGGGAGGGAGAGATAGCATCACAAGGATTCGTTTGATTATAACAGTAATCCACACCAAGTCAAATAAAATAGCCAAACAGTTAAAAACGTGGTCCCTAATGAATTTGCTAATTCTAGCAAGCCCTCGCAAACATTTCCTGCCGGAGTGCCCCATATCAAAATGAAATAGCTGTGCTTTAATTACATGGAATAATTATTCGATTTCCAGGAAGTTAATACAGTGCTTTGTATTTAAATAAAAAGTTCTAGACACGCTGTGAAACTCGATCAAACCAACAAAAAGGGTGAAACCAAATGCCTGTGCTGTGAGTCAAGATTTCAGCTGCTCAGCAAGCCTGACGTTACGGCTTACGAGCCCAGAAAAAGGGGCATTTTAAAACTAGCCAACCGGATCATGTCACTTTCTTATAGGAAAAGCCCTGCTTTTGCAGAGATCTAGTGTAATGTAGCCACGTGGTGTCGAGGGGCCCCAATCTTGCTGTCTTCACCCCTGTGCACTGGCAGGAGCCCCACTTTTCAGGGGACGCTGCCTCAGACTGTCGCCCTCACTTTTGAAGGTCTGCTCAAATTCTGGGGTCTCTTAACTCAAGCGCTTTACGAGTGAGTTTGGGGTAGGGAGGGGGGGGAGGCCTGTGGGTGTCTGTTTTGCATGAGGAGTTGGAGACTCTTGTGGAGAAGTCAGGCCTGCGCCGCTCCGGCGGCCGCTCCGGCGTGGGGCCGGCTTGGGTTAGAGACATGCACACACACCATAGAGCTCGCTTTCCCGTAGCAGCTGCTGCCTCTGCCTCTGCCTCTCCCGCCTCAGCCTCTTTGCCCGGCTTCCACACACATTCAGATTTGCGCGCTGTTTCAATCCTTGATGACGTGTCTCCGGAGACAGCCAATAGCCGACGGGCTCTGGTCAGGACAATGGGAAGAAGCGGACCAATGACCGGGCTCGGTGAGTTGGCGGTAGCCAATAGGAGGCGCGCTGGCTGGAGAGTAATGTTACAGAGCGGAGAGTGTGAGGAGGCTGCGTCTGGCTCCCGCTCTCACAGCCATTGCAGTACATTGAGCTCCATAGAGACAGCGCCGGGGCAAGTGCGAGCCGGACGGGCACTAGACGACTCTGTGCTCGCTGAGGGTGAGTCCGGGGCAGCGCCGCGGTGGGGAGGGCGCCTCCGGCAGCGCCCGGCACGCGCGGCGGCGGGATCCCGCGGCCGGGAGCGGCGGGTCGGGATCCACACAAAGGCGGATGAGGGGGGACGGGGGGGAACTGCGCACGGAGCGAGCCTGGGGCGCCGAGCCCTGCCCCGCGCAGGACCCCGGCCCCGCTCACCGAGCGCCGCAGCCCCGCGCCCGTGCCGCCCACCCGCCGGCGTCCGCGCTGACTGGCGCAAATTTTTTTTTTTATTAAAAACATTTTTAACGTGTTTTCAGCCCCCGGGCCGAGCGTTCGGACGGCCGCCGTGAGCGGGGGACGGTGGGGCCACGACGGGAGGGCGGGCGGCGGCGCCTCCTTGGGCTGCATCGGCCGCCGCAGAGCCGGGCGCGGGCGGGCGGCGCGGTGGGCCCGGCGGCCTGCGCCCGGGCGGCGGCGCGGCGGCGGGGGGAGCGGCGCCCTGCGCCCGCTGGAACATGGCTGACTCGCCCGGCGCTGCCGGCGGGGAGAAAACAAGGCGGCGGGCGGGCGGGGGAGCGGGACGCGCAGTTCCGAGGCAACTTTTTTTTCCTCGCCCCGCTCCAGCCCCGCGTTCCCCGTGCGGGGGTGGCGGGCGCGCGGGCCGCGGAGGGAGACGGGCGCGGCGGCGGCGGCTGCGGGCGGGAGCGGGCGGGAGCGGGCGGGGGAGGGGAGGGTCCGGCCGCGCGCCCCCCGCCCCTCCCCCCGGCCGCAATGGCCGAGCGTGCGCCAGAGCGCGCCGCGCACCCCGCCCGCCCGCGCTCGCACTAACACACTCACACACATACACACACAAAGGGAAGGAGCCATGTTCGCGCTCGCCCTCGCGGCGGCGCAGGCGGGGAAGACGCGCAGCGGCCATTCCGTGCGCGCCGGGCCGGCAGCCGCGGGCGGAGCCAGCCCCCATTTCGAGCGGGGCTTCTCTCTCGGCGAGCCCGACAAAATGGGGGCGGCGGGCGCACGTGGCGGCCCGCGGTCCACGCCTGCCCTCCCCGTGCTGCCCGCCGCCCCCGGACTCCTGGGGCTAAGTTGCGAAAAGGTGCGTGGAGCCCGGACGCTGGGAGCCCGCCCTGTGCGGCGCCCCAACTTTCACGGATAAAAAAAAAATACTCCGATGGGGGGGGGTCAACCCCAGCTACAAGCAGGAGTGGCTTTTGTCCCTCATCCTTGTTTACGCGGAGAAACTTCAGACCGGACGTGTTGAGTCAGAACTGAAATACATCTCGGGGCCAAACCGATAGGAGAGAAGCTGCCTCGCGATGCGGTGGCAGCGGCACGGATAACGCTGCCACCCCAGCCTGGGTCTGAGCGTGGCAACTTTCTCCCCCGCCCTTCTCCCAGGAAAGTTTATACCGAGCGAGTGTTTTTCAAGTAATCACTAAACATTAGTGGTTTAGGCCCATTATTGGGAAGGGCCTACTTACTACTTCCTTGGGCTTGTACCTGTTTATTACTTAGGTCGTTTAAATTTACAAGTCTGCAACATTAGTTTTCTGACATTTGATTTTGTTGATTTAAAATGGTTTTGAACGCATAAGAAAAATATTAGAGAACCTTTTAGGTATTTTGAACAGACTATACAAGTATACCATTGTGCCTACACTGTTTTGAGAGTACACTGAAGGACCGTTTTCTGCTTGGTATTGCTGCTTCTAGAAATTGGCTATTACTACAATTTTTTTGGTTTGGTATTATGGGAGGTTGATGTCACTCCTGTGTTGAGTAACCAGTACATTAGTTTTTATACACTCTCCAAGAAGTCAAAGTGCTCTTAAATGTCATAGTTGAATTGCAGACATCAAACGTTTTATTTTTATATTTTTTAGAAAAGTAATTAAACATGGGCAAAGGAGATCCTAAGAAGCCGAGAGGCAAAATGTCATCATATGCTTTCTTTGTGCAAACCTGCCGGGAGGAGCACAAGAAGAAGCACCCAGATGCTTCAGTCAACTTCTCAGAGTTTTCTAAGAAGTGCTCAGAGAGGTGGAAGGTAAGAGGGCTTAAAACATAAGAGTTCCACTCCTAATTAGGATTTTAAAAAGCCTGTGTGCAATTTGGGTAATGTGAGGTGGTAATGTTAGAACAGGCTACTTATAACAAGGGACACTGGTTTTATTCATTTTAATACTTCTGAGGGCAGTTTATTGAAAATTTTATTTTACTTATAGTCTACAAATAATTCTTTTGTAGACCATGTCTGCTAAAGAGAAAGGAAAATTTGAAGACATGGCAAAGGCGGACAAGGCCCGTTATGAAAGAGAAATGAAAACTTATATTCCTCCTAAAGGGGAAACAAAAAAGAAGTTCAAGGATCCCAATGCACCCAAGAGGCCTCCGTAAGTATCTTGCCATTTTTCTTTCAAGGAGTGTTTTGCAGTAGAATCAGAAATTCAGCAAAGCCACCTTGTGGGTTTGGAGTGTATAATCAAAGTTTCTTAGCTAATAGTGGGTCGCATTGGTATATTTAAGTATTGTAAGTAAAATTCCTGTGGGGTGGGAGTTTAGCCAAAGCATTTGAATTTGACGTTTGTTTCCTTGACCTATTATACTTTTAAATGTAATTTTGAGTCTTTTCTCGAAAAATATGTCTGACATACTTAATTTGTAGAATGTCTTGTTGGAGGTGTCTGACATTAATGTATGTTCAATTGGTGTCAGGAGTTACATAATTATAAAACAATTTTGGTTATGAAGGATAATTCGCATATTATGGTATTTATACCTTATCCAATGCATGCTGGAAATTAAAGCAGTTTTTATATAGCAATACAATATACACTTGATAATAAACTTAAAATTCTAAAATGAAATTCCTCTTCGTAGTTCGGCCTTTTTCTTGTTTTGTTCTGAGTATCGCCCCAAAATCAAAGGAGAGCATCCCGGCCTATCCATTGGTGATGTTGCAAAGAAGCTGGGAGAAATGTGGAACAACACTGCTGCAGATGACAAGCAGCCTTATGAAAAGAAGGCTGCTAAGCTGAAGGAGAAATACGAAAAGGTAAGAAGTGCGGATTTGCTTGGTGTGATGATGATGAAAGGGTATGCCAGGTGTTAGGTAATTATATCTAATACCGCATCTTAATACTTTATTTTCTTAGGGATTTCTAAAGTTTGATGTGTGATGCGTTTTTTTAATACTAACTACATTCACTATGTCAGTGGCTATACTCTTAAGTCCTTTTCCTTTCTTCAAATTATATAGAATATTAAGTTCGGTGATAATTTTTTTTACTCTATATAATTTGACTTTGGTAGAGGCCATACATTTAGGGTGGGTTTGTTAATTCCCCAGTATGTCCAAATCTATAAAATTTTTGATAGTTACTTTGAATGAGATGATTAGTTATTTTAAATGGTCACAATATAAAAATGGGCTAGAGAAAATAATATAGATTGTGTTCTTCATAAACATACCTTGGAACATTTATGTTCTCTCCCCTAGATAACAAAAAAAACCTCAATTTTAAGTTAAAAAGTTAATGTCTATAATAAATTGATATGAAGAAAAATATATAACCCCTATACTATGAATTGAGATTTAAAAAGTTAAATTTTAGCTTACTTAGTTATTTTTAAAACAAATTTCTTACTGTAGATTAGTGTCTGACTATATAAACCTGTAGAATGCTTTTTTGCATTCAGAAGGTGGCAGTGTCTACCCTTTAATCAAAGTCTCTACATTCTAGTTACAATAAACGAGTTAGGATGTGGTGCATAATTTCACGTAAGTGAAGCATAACATAGCAAATGTTAGACCATGGCATTCAATGAGCTATGGGTTATTAACAATCATTTCAGTATTTTTATGCATTTTTCAAAGTCCTGATTAATTGTGGAGTTGGAGTGAACCTTCAGATAAATGTGGTATTTTCATATAATTGGGCTTGGTAAGTTTTGGCATATTAATTTATTTCTTCTCTTACTTAACTGTATTGTCTTTCCTACCAATTTCTCCTGCCCTTATTTTGGAAGGATATTGCTGCATACCGAGCTAAAGGAAAGCCTGATGCTGCAAAAAAGGGAGTTGTCAAGGCTGAAAAAAGCAAGAAAAAGAAGGAGGAGGAGGAAGATGAAGAGGATGAAGAGGATGAGGAAGAGGAGGAAGACGAAGAAGATGAAGATGAAGATGAAGAGGATGATGATGAATAAGTTGGTTCTAGCGCAGTTTTTTTTTTTCTTGTCTATAAAGCATTTAACCCCCCTGTACACAACTCACTCCTTTTAAAGAAAAAAATTGAAATGTAAGGCTGTGTAAGATTTGTTTTTAAACTGTACAGTGTCTTTTTTTGTATAGTTAACACACTACCGAATGTGTCTTTAGATAGCCCTGTCCTGGTGGTATTTTCAATAGCCACTAACCTTGCCTGGTACAGTATGGGGGTTGTAAATTGGCATGGAAGTTTAAAGCAGGTTCTTGTTGGTGCACAGCACAAATTAGTTATATATGGGGATGGTAGTTTTTTCATCTTCAGTTGTCTCTGATGCAGCTTATACAAAATAATTGTTGTTCTGTTAACTGAATACCACTCTGTAATTGCAAAAAAAAAAAAAGTTGCAGCTGTTTTGTTGACATTCTGAATGCTTCTAAGTAAATACAATTTTTTTTATTAGTATTGTTGTCCTTTTCATAGGTCTGAAATTTTTTTTCTTGAGGGGAAGCTAGTCTTGCTTATGCCCATTTTGGATCATGGTTTATTACAGTGTTTGTCTTTTCATATAATTAGCTGATAAAAAGCTTTTGTCTACACATCCTGCATACTTGTGATGAGGGTAATAAGAGCTGAATTGAGACAGTTTTCATCCATAAGTGAAACTCTAAAATTGTGATCAGTTGGTATCAAATTTCACATAGCCCAGTTACATTTACAAAGTGAAAAGTAACCACTCTACTCACAGCATGGGATTAGAATCAAACATTTTGAAAGTCTGTCCTTGAAAGAGTAGTAGAAAAGTATGTTCTAATCTTTTCGTGAGGACTCTACATTTTTAAACTCCCATTACCATGTAATGGCATTATATTTGCAGTTCCTACATTAAAGAAGACCTGAGAATGTATCCCCAAAAGCGTGCGTTTAAAATACAAGACTGCCATGTGAAGTGTTTTGTTGACATTAGTCCTGGCGAAGCCTCTGGGAAAAAAATGCTGGCTGTAAATGTCTTCTATTTAAATATGGGTGGCTTAGGAAACAAGACTCCATTAAAGGTATTTTTAATTAATTGGACCTACTTTTAAAATTGTATGCTACATTTAAAATCAGGTATATTTTCCCAATTATTATTTGCCCCTTTATAAACCAAATAGATAATGAGGGAAGACAACACTTTATATCACAGTATGAATTGTCCAATTTATTTGAACTTGATTTTTCCTTGTAAAACTCAAAACTCATTAGGGTCATATGTTTATCCACTTAGCCATTTAGGAAATGATTTGGCAGTTTTTGTGGTTTTTGACATTCTTACAGTGCCAGTGTTTTAAAATAGCATTCTTGTAATTTTACACGCTTTTGTGACAGAGTGCTGTTTTGTTATATAATTTGACGTGGACCTTTCCATTTGCATTTGTTTATGTAATTTCAGGAGGAATACTGAACATCTGAGTCCTGGATGATACTAATAAACTAATAATTGCAGAGGTTTTAACTATTAGTTACATGGCTTTCACTTAAGATTTTAAGATTTTGTTATGTACATACTTTAATCTTGTTTTTGATAATAAGCAACACCATTTAAATAAGGGCTGGCTTTTAAAATACTCTGCTTATAAATAGGTTAATGGGCTGATAAAAGGTTTTTGTCAAATATTCCAAGTGGTCTCAGATATTAAATATAAATGAGGAAAAACTAATTTTGTAGAATTTTGGGTTAAACAAAATAGTTTCTTAAAGAAAGGCACATAAGTAAAAAGTGATTACAAATATAAAAAAAGTTTTCTAAGCCAAATGACAACATAAATGCTGAAATTGTGTCCAAATTTATCAAGTTTTTAGTCAAAAGGAATAAATCAGTATCATCTCTTGATTTATATGGAAGTTTTTGCTATGGCTATAGAACCACATTTAAAATACCAGTTGCTGGCAATGATGATCCCTTTAAAAGTGAATTCCTCAAGGAAACTAGCAGTTTAGTAATGGAAACTACCTTTTTTTTGTTGAGGATCTGAACAAGGCTTTTTGGGCTAACTGGCTTCAGATAACTGGAAAAGGATGAAAACACTTTCAATCTGAAAGCCATTCTGCCCAGTGTTTCGACAGACCCCTGGAAGGTGGGCAATTCAGGTAATTCAGTGTTAAATTACACATGATGTTTTTTAAAGTTACTGTAAGGAACTTAATGTTTAGAAGTGGTTTCAGGACTATGGTGCATAAAGATAAAGGTATTAGCATCAAGGAAAGATTAAAAGGTAATAAATTTAAGTAGTTGCATTCTTAAAAATTGGTATACTGAATGAACCTTAACATAATCCAATTGCCTAGTTTTCCTGTACAAAGATTGAGAGCTACAGCTGGGTAGTTATAATCTAGGTGTTGGTATTTGCCTTATCTTTTTTTTTTTTCTTTTGAGCAAAATCTAAACAGTTTTTGAGTCCTATGCATCACCAGGGTAAAAATTAAATGATAAGTGTGTGATAAGAGGAGCCATTTGACAAATATTTCACTGCCCAGGGAATTGGAAGTATTGCTCAGACATCAGTGTAGTATCTAGCTATACTGAAAACTACATTCAAGAGACAGGAGATTTTTTGAATGAAAATCATGGCCAGCTGTTTTGGCAGCATGTAATCTATGATGAAAGCTCAAGTCAGCTTGGTACAACACCTGAGAGGTCCTGAAATAGCTCTTTTTCAGTATTAGCCTGGCACCTTTTCCCTATGATAGTATTACTGCATATTTGCATAAATCCAAATATATTTTCCGTCTTGGAATTAACTATTGCTTGATTATGGACCACTGGTTAGTAATTAGACTTTTATTAATAGTGATTGTGGTAAGTTATTTAAAATGTTTTCATATTTGTGCTTTGCCTTTTTCAAATGGCTCTGAAACTTAAAAACTGCATGAAAGCCGGAAAATTTGTATATCTATGCAACATAAGATGCAAACTGGGTTTTTTGTCCTCTTCTAAGCAAAGAAGTGAACAGCAGTGCTAACACTTGCCATAACTTTGGAAGTTCCCTGGATCTGAGCCAAGTTGCTCCCTGGAGTAATAAGACAAAGTATAGCTTTAAGACTGCTGCAACTTAATGATACACCACAGCACACAAATACCACACAACACGGAATGACAAGCATAAGCCACACTCCAGAATATACAACACCCATTTTCCAGTGGGTTTCAATCTGAAATGTATCTGCCAGGAAGAATGTGATAGCGTATGCCTTTAGGCATATCCATTGATTGGTACCTTTGATATAATTCAATTTATTGGTTACCCACTCAAAGGGAAGTAGTAATACAGCCCTGGGGTAATGAGGGATTTTGATAGGTCTGTAGGTGACCACATGAAGAATGGCAGGTGAAGGTTGGTGTGGAGACTGAAAGCCTTGTAAATTATGAAGTATTTATTTTCATTTTCACATATAAGCGGCATTCCATAATATGAAGCCCATAAATTGATAATTCCTTTACTGATGGTCATTCACATTTCCTATTTTTTTTCTACTTCTAACAATACTGCAGTGAACTGTGTACATGTCTCTTAGGCACATGTAGGTCTTGAGATACGTCAGAATAGAATTGCTGAGTCAAAAGGTTTGTGCATTAACAACTTGGCAGACTGACAAATTGGCCCCCTAAAAGGGTATACTTTAGAACATTTTAGCAATAATTTTTTAAATGATAAGATTTTTACTGGCTATTCTATGGCTCCATGAAATAACCATTTTTAAAAGGTACGAAATTAAAATACTGAAGTATTGTCATTTGTTCAGAGCCACCCAAACACAAGAAGACAAAATCAGAACTAAAAGACCTTGTATTGGCTATTAATTATTTAAACTACTGAACAAATTATTTCTCCAAAAAGTTACTACAGTAACTAAATATTTAAGTTAATTTGTTGTGTGAGAATGAGGAACTTCCCATTTGACATCCTCCATGCTAAATGGGAGCATCAGGTAGTTTTTACCTGGGGAGGGATTTTCTAGCAGAGACTGTCAGTCTACAAACATTTGGAAAAGCAGTAAGTTTTGGCTACAGATTATTCTCAAGGACTGTGTGGACAAGTTTCTAGGCACTAGGAGATGATTGGTTACTTGGAAAAGTGAATGGACACTGAAGACTTGCTTTAAATGGGATAAAGAGGACACCTGCTTCACCTCCTGGGGATGGTAATTTAGGGTGCAGGACTCATGCCAATGCATTTGTAAACCCTTAAAGTGGAATTAAACTTCGTTCCTTAGAGTTACATAGACTCGAGTTACAGGCTTCACCATATTTTTGTTCATTGGGTTTTAATTAGAGATCATCTTATAAAATGTTCTGAACATAACCAAGTAAGAATAAAAGATCCTAAAATACAAGTATCAGGTGAGAGAGAATACTCGTACAGAAAAACAGGGAGCTCAGTCACCACATCCTCAGATACCAGTGTGATGCTCAGGTGTGAAGAGAGAGCTTGGAGGCTACTCAGCAAGGACATGGCAGCCCCCTCTCTGATCTGAATCCCAAGGAAGCTCAGGTCTTGCTGTGCATCTGGTGTTGGCCTGCCTGGGACTTGAGTATAGTGACTGGGTGAGGCACGCTCAGACTGTGAAGCAGAGAGCCTGACCCAGAGCTTCTTTCACAAGAGGAACAAGAGTTGCCCTTGCTTTGGGGGCCAGTGCAGGCTCATAGCACATTAGAGGCAAAGGGCTTTGCCAGTCTAGCCTGTGGTTTTTACAGAGTAGAGGGTAGAGGCCCACAGAGACTCAGAGGTTTGCTCAGACCAAAAGTAGCATCAAAACAATAGAGCAGTGCCAGGCTCACAGCAGAAAAAAAAGTGAGTTCTTCCCTCTTCTTTATTTTTATTTATTATTTTTTGTTTTATTTTTAAATTGAATTTATTGGGGTGACATTGGTTAATAAAATTACATAGGTTGCAGGGGTACAATTTGATAATACATCATTTGTATATTGTGTGTTCACCACCCCAATCTTTCCTCTTCTTTTAAGGATGATAACAAGGGTCTGGAAGGCTTCCTCCCAGTCCCTCACTTTCATGCCTGGTTCTCATATCATGACTACAGTTGTTAAAATGCAAGCAGGGCAGCACTCTGCCATCACTGTGATTCCTGTCTGACTTTCCTCCTCCTATTTACTTAGACTCAAGACACTTCCAGACAAAACAAAACAAAATTACTGCTTATTGTATAGGACATTATAAGCTACCCAATTCTAAAGAGCTGAAAAGCACCAGAACTGTGCTCCTTGGAGTCTTTACATTAGCAGCATGAACCTCCAGAAGTAGAAGGTAGAATTGCAATACACTACACACTGCAATAACTTTTGAAAAACCCTACCTTATTCTGAATGAAATTTGCACTAACTGAAAGAAAATAAATAAGAAAATAAAAATTATAGACCGATAACAGTATGGTGATGACCAGAGGGAAAGGGGAATGGGGGAAGT